ACGTTGGATATATTACTTACAAAATGGCATAGTATTTATGAATGACTTTTTATCGATCTACAGTATGAGTATATTGACATATTTGTATGTGGAAACGACGGCGTACAAGTTTCGTATTTATTCCATGATATAAGCATGAAAGAATTGGCTAAATGAAATCATCGCACACGTTGTTGTTGTTGTTGTTTTTTTAAATTGATATATTGTTGCCAGGACTTCGGAGTGGCAGCTTTTGCTTGTGTTAAAGCTTTAAACAATACAGTACATTAGATCTTCCGTTTCATGTTTACTTGACATATATGCATGTGCTAAGAGGTCACTTAACTGCACATTATCAGTTATGGTCAACACTCAACATGTTGTAGCCCGTGGTCTTTGTGCTTTTGTAAAAGGAGTTATCTATATAAATTTAAGATGCCAGGTGTTTTTTGTAGCATCTGCATAAATTATAGAATAATTGATTTAAGAAGTTCCTCAGGTTGTAAAACATTTGGTTAAAGATCTTAAAGACCACTGTAGATTGCCACTTGACAGCATAATGTAAAGCTATAACTAAGCCAAACCTGGAATAATTTTTGCATCAATTTGTGTCTGGATAAAAAATAAGTAGTGAATTTAAATACGGATGTCTCCTTGTCTGTTGCTATGTGAAACAATGTTGTTTATAGCAATAAGAGTCATTGTGGATCAATAACAATACTCATTTGCTAAAAATATACAAGCATTGATTCCATTTCCAAACTATTATACTATGTGAATATATTGGCAATTAATCCAATTATATATAAAAGGAGATACAGTAGGATTGAAGTAGCTACCAGTTTCAATCAAATAACTACTTTAATTTCTGTATCATGTTATTGTTTCCCAAGCATGCATCATTGAGGGGGCGCTTGTTCTAAATATATGCAATAATTATAGGTTATTTTGAGGCAACGAGGGGATATGTGATTTATTCACCGAGGCGCGCAGCGCCGAGGTGAATAAACACATATCCCCAAGGTGCCTCAAAATAACGTACTTATTTTTCACAATGCGAGGTCGCGTTAATGAGTCAGAATAGAAATAATTCTTAATGCCATATTGCCTTTGTTATGTTGTTTTTTTTCTCATTTTTTGTGCTGCAAAGACATAGATTGCAGGTGAATATTAGAGGGGATTATTAATTGCAGGTGAATATTAGAGGGGATTATTAAATGGAAATTGATTAGAGGGGAATATTGAATATATTCCTCGATAAGAACAAAGGAAACCGAGCAGGGTGAAAAATAAGTCTGGTTACCATTAAAAAATGTCCATATTCAGAGTACCGTTGTACTATATTTTATTAAAATACTGCAGAAATGCAATATATTTCATGATTTTAAGAATCAATTGAATGGGAACTGCATTGTTAAAAGAGGAGGGGGCTTATTTATTTTTTATTTTTGTATCCAAATGAGGGGGGTTGGCTTATTGGAGAGAGGCTTAAAGAGAAGGGGGCTAAATTTAATTTTATGGGTAAATTAAAACCGAACGTTTTAAGAGTAGCCCAATCAGCTATGCTGTTAGCAAGTACAATGAAACATTGTTTGGGTAGTTTTAGCTTTATACGTTTATAGATCTATTTTATACTCCTATTATACGTTTTATACTCTTATAACATAATCTTATTTCTTGTAATGTACATAACAATTTAGCTTTTAATTGCTATTATAGCAATGGATTGCAAGGTTGATGTATAAACATGGATTGCAAGGTTGATATATAATTTGCATGTTATGTACCTGGTAATATGGAGTAATGAGCTAGTAAATATATCCTTGCCTATAATTAGTTGTCGATTAAATGTTCAAAGATACACAATGTGAAGCATGAAAAACAAATGGTAGATACCCACTGCAACAAATTTTCAACAAATATATATGGATTTGTTCACTTCATTTCTTACTTTCGACACAAGTAATTATAATTACAAATACAATGTCATTTAAAGACTTTATTTGTGCTCCATGTATATATGTTAATGTACCGGTAATATAATATAAAAAATAATGTGTTTATTGTTGAAGTGGAAGTCAAGTCCGTATTGTAAACAAACGGTTTGTAATTTACATTTTGAACTGCTGTATTTTTTAAAATATGATGTATTGTCTGAATATCTAACACCATTTTGGTTCGCTATGCTTCTAAATGAGATGAAATGGGTCGTTCCAGAAAAGATCCACACTTCCCCCACGGAGGAAATTTCTGCTGTCCGGAGGGGGAGAGGAGAAAAAATTGTTTCTGATAATAGTAAATGTATTAAGACATCCGAAGGGGGTAGGGAGGTTAACTTCCAATTTCTTCCGTGGCGGTGGTATGGATGTTTTCTGGAATGACCCAATAGAGTTTATGTTCAGAAAACTCCGAAACATTCGAAATTTGGGCAATGCTCACATTAGGGACCGGTCATTATTTATGGAAGGGGGGGGAGAAAAAATAAGGGGGGGCCATATGTAGAAATAAATGACAAGAAGGGGGGGCTATTAAATTTTTCAAGAAAATGACGGGGGGGGTTGCAATTAAATTTGAAGAAATTTGCTTAATAACCTGGTATCCATTTGGTTGTAAATGTTGCAACTAAATCATGGTCACTGATGTGAAATAGTCTGGATTCATCTTGTCTTGTGTGTGCTGTATGCAAATCAGATTTATGGTTTGCAGACTAGTTAATTAAATTGACAATGTATTATTACATCAGCTCTTGATGTGGTTAAATACATTTAAATTAAGCAAGGTTAACGGCGGATGTATTATGCAGGCCACATCCGCTGAGGGGAGTCTGTGACGTCATATCGATCAAAGGGGGTTGTTTCATGCCTTGTGATCAGTGCTTTGGTCTGGGTATTCATTCTGCCATTGTATGCTTTGCCTAGCTGCAGCAAGTTAAAGTTTTGCGCTTCGTTATCTTTTCCCCACCCACCCACCCACCCACCCACCCACCCATGTTCATTCTAAAGGATTTTTCTGGTAGCTAGTATATGTCATTTTATTTTATATAATTTTTAATCTCACATAAAATAGGATGTATAGACCACTATACATTGTATTTCGCAGGTATGCCTTGGCAGAATTGTCATTGCTAAACTATCTCCTTTTGCTGTTAATATTACTGATTGTTGCTCTCATTGTTGCCGCGCAGCTGCTATGGCAATACTTCGTACCATCAAGTCTAGTTGCAGCCTTAAACATGGTTACAATCGCCCAGACCAAATGGAAACCTGATTTTAGTGTTATATATAAAAATACTCCTCTTTTAACGTCGACCAAAAATATATTAGCAGAAAATTATAATTAATATCTTGCCAATTCCATATTCTTATTTAATAATTAACACTATAACGCCTGGGTATCCCCATTTGACGAGTAAAAGAGAAATGGGGGGGGGGTCAAAGAAAAATATTCAAATATGCAGGGGGGGTCATCATTAAATTTCTGCTCTTTTAGGGGGGGGCTTTCAATTTTAAAAATTTAGAAAAGAAAAATTCCCCTCCCCCCTTCCATAAATAATGACCGGTCCCTAAGTAGTCAAATACCACATATTTTATTATATACATTTATACAGTATAAAAACAATCATTGTGTAATATTTTAAACAGTCAAAACTCTCGCTGCAGGCATTAATATATTGCCAATTAACAATATCATAAGAAACTATGGTTCTCAGGAGATATTTAATTAAATCCTGGTCCTGTATTTCTGTAACTCTGTTCAAAACAACAGTCCAACTAAGTTGTCATCAAATGTAGTGTTAGAGTAAAGGTAAAGATGTCATCAGTTAAAATTATACTTATACATTTTGGTTTTACACATTAATAGAGTTAATTAAACAAAATTGTTACAACCATTTTCAAATGCTATTAAAAGAATCCCCATCCTCCTTCCTCATTACATTGTCATTTTGCTTTCTAATATAAATATTTTTTGTTTAGAGATTAATACAAGAATGATGAATACATGTACTGATCTACTGGATATTGACTGGATAATTTTGCAAGACAAGACAAACTTACCTAAATTCATTTGTATGGAAAATAACTTAACAGCTACAATAATCATATATTATATGGATGGATCAGATCAACGGCTCACAATGTACAAAACTATATTTGTGATACCTTCTACTCAAACAGCTATTCTCCCACAACACAAAGTGTTTTTGTGTGGTTATGCTGAGTTAAACTGAACAGTGTGGTATATATAATTAACTGTGCACAGGATTGGAATTGAATTATATACTTCACTCATGACCTTCAAAACATTCTATACTATTCAGTGGTCTTCGATATATGATTGACTCTTTGCTACAGTAATGTATGTTCCTCGATTAGTTTGTGTATGTTACTCAACAGTTAACATTGGCAAGTGTAAACAACAAGTGACAGAACTTTTGCTTCATATGATTACAATAAAGTTTTGAAAATTCGATGAGTATGGATTGACAAGTGACAGTTTACTAAATAGCCAGCTGTATAGACACTTTAATATTGTTTGCATGAAATTTTTATTTCCTGACTGCATAATTATTCATTACAAGCATAATAGTATACATAAAAGTATTACTTGACTGTGATTGGTTGATTTCAGTGCAGTTAATCCCAAACAGCAGTGCAAAAATCTGTAATCACAGTGCAATTTTCTGTAATCACAGTGCAATTTTCTGTAATCACAGTGCAATTTTCTGCTATCACTATGAACCAATCAGAATTGAGCTATATTTTGGCGGCAAAATGTTCTTTTTTTTCTTCAAAACAAACATGGCCGCATTTAGTGGTGGGGAATGATTCCGGCACTTGGAATTGAGTTCAATTGAAGAACTGCGAAATAATGCAAAAAATACAAATACCAAGAGAAGCACGATCTTTTGGCTTGGCGTTTTTAAATCATGGGCAAAGGAGCGAGGTTTTTCTGAGACCATTGAAACATACAAGGCGTTCGACTTACATACGAGGCGTTCGACGGTGAAGTCAGGAACAAGGATGGCGGTGAATACGAGCCAGTCTCTGCGTTATGATAGCAGCCTTGGACCGTTATTTGAAAGACTGTGGTTATCAGAAGTCCATAATACGAGATCGGGAATTTTGCAAATCAAAAGAAGTTCTCGAGGGAAAGGCAAAGCATGTACGCAAAGAAAGGAAAGGCAAGAGACCAAACAAAGCTCGAAGTTTAACGCAAGAGGAGGAAGAACACCTGTGGACCAAACGGAAAACTGGGTAATAAAACAGCCGAGAGTTTAATCAATACTATGTGGTGGTTGCTGACACAATATTTCGGCCTTCGCGGACAACAGGAGCGTCCCGGCATGAAAGTTGAGGACTTCACAATTGGCAAAGACAACGACGGACTCGAGTATGTTGAATACATCGAAGGTCCCACCAAAACAAGAAATGGAGGCTTGTCAAAAAAGTCGAGAGATTTCCTGCCCAAGATGTATGCTACAGGTGATGAAAGATGTCCTGTTGCTCTGTTCAATGAGTACTTGTCTCGGCGACCAGCGGCACTCCAAAATTCCGGCCCGTTTTACCTGTCAATAAAGTACAACTCCAACAACAACACTTGGTACAAAGCTCAACCTATGGGCACAAATCGCATCAACGAAATGATGAAAAGGATTGTCCAGGGAACACAACTTGAGCATCAACAACAAAAGAAATTGACAAACCACAGTGCTTGTAAGGCGGTAGTCAACAAATTGAAAAAGAACAACGTTGAGCGTTCCTCGATCGTGAAAGTAACTGGTCACCGCAACTTGCAATGGCTCAACGATTATGATGGAGACGAACAAGAACAGCAGCAAATGTCTTCCAGGATATCATGGAGGAATAATCCACAACAACGTCACGATGGGGCATCCACTTGGCAAAAGTGGCAATGCAACAACAGCAAGCCTTTCTTGCTGATTTCCAACGGCAAGGTCAACTAAACGTGAGCAGCAGTAATCAACTGAGTCAAGCAACGGTGAGACAAGAAAGTCGACAGAAAATGTTAAACAACAACAATTTCAACAACTGCCAAGTAACTTTCTCAGTTGGTTCAACGATGACTTCGCCAATTCTTCCTCAGGATACTTCGAACCCGAAGCAACGTCGCACTTACATGATTGAAAGTGACTCTGATTGACTGTTTTGTTTTATATACTGTTATACATAGTTATGCGCTTAAAAATTACTC